TCAGATTTAGAAAAGTGGACCAGGTCATTGTTGTACATGTCCCGAGTGCTTAGCAGGTTGCTGTACTCTTTTTGACTCAGGTCCTCCGGGTTTATGCCATTTGACTTTAAGAATTCCTGGTAAGCCACACTGAACGTTTGCCCAATGGACTGGGCAATCAGCTGGGCCTAGAAGAAATAACAGACTTACGGATATCAATATTAATTATATTAATACATTGTGCTATATTTTCAATCATTTGAATTCATGGATTAACTATGAAAAGAAGATAACATCCTCCTAGACTCACATCCTCAGTCTCAAACAGATGACATAACATTGTGTACTGTCGCTTGTTGTCTTGACTCGAGTTTGAGGCCTCCTCATTATCCTGACCCTCCTGCTTAGTAAACCTTTGCCTGGCCATCAGAACCACAACATGGCCAATGTCAGCGATGTAGGAGATGGTTCGTAAGGGGTGGTCCAGTATGGTTTCCTTGAAAACAAATAACAAATAATGGTCCGTTAACAGTAATCATTCAGATGTTTTACAGAAGAAAAGGTTAAGAAGATGCCACATGTGTGTTTACCATTTACTTAAAGGAGCAGCGTGTAAAGATTCTACACAGAAATAATCACAAAACACCTTATTTACATTGGAAGGAAGGCTACATGGATACAGTTTTATTCTCAGCTGGCTGGGGTTTGTCAGTTTTCTCCTTTCAAAATAAAATAATGAACAAAACAAAAGAGGGGCGTACAGTGGGATGCAAATGTTTAAATTGTTGGTTTTTACATAAAAATTTTCAGTTACATGGATATTCTACCCAAAATTGAAATTTAGTCTGTTGACATGTTTCCCAGAGTTGGATAGGTGGGAAAAACCAGCCCGGTCATTCGCCTGACCCGGCTGTACTCCTTTAGCTTTAGCTTAGCATAAAACACAGTAAGAGAATGGATCCAACTAGCATTGTTAGTAAAAAAAATGTCCTTAAAATCACTCAGTAGTGGTCCCAGTTCTGCTTGGTGACCTAAATAATCAGACTGACTGCAGGTGAAAGTTATTAGTAACATGAAGGAATCACAGGCGCCATGTTAGGCTTGGGACTACTTTATGACTAAGCTCAGCTGTAAGCCTCCGCTGGCAGCCCCAGAGACACCTGCTTCCATAAACACAGATGCACACGTTAGCCAACATAAACTACACATGCACGTAACGTAGCTCCAAGTTTTCTTTTTTCTAGATTTCTGATAAATGTGTTAAACATCATCTACATTTCATGCTTAGTTCTACTTCTGCATGTCTGGGAGGACTCAGTGCTCCATTTTGTGACTACATGCGCTAATACTCACAAACACAGCAGCGGCTGCTCCATGACTCTTTTCCCTTGCCACCTGATGATGGAGGAGTAACGTTAAAGGCTCTCTGCAGAGCTGAAGAGCTTTTGATCACTACCTGAGATTTAAAGGGTCCAGATTTCAGGAAAGATGACACTCATGAATATTTCCAGGGCAAACGTGGACCTAATGAAATGTTAGTATTCCCTATGTCTATGTTTCTACAAGAAAGTACAGGAAAGTGCCTCTTTGATCACATAATCCCAGAAACCTTCTAACAGTTCCTTATCAGGCCCATTCCAAACAGGCTCCTCTCATCATCTCTATGAAGGATGCATTATTAAATGTTAGATCTCTTAGCAATAAGTCATTTTTAGTGAATGATCTCATCTCTACTCGTAATCTTGACTTCATGTTTTTATCTGAAATTTGGCTAAACGATAGTAGCTGTGCACCAGTTCTCATAGAGTCATCACCACCAAATGTCCCGTCTCTGAATGCACATCGGTCTGATAGAAGAGGTGCTACAGCTACTATATTGAGAGACTCATTCCTCTGTAAACAGATAGTGTGTGGTGCTTATCACGCTTTTGAGTGTACTTGTTTTGAAGTTAAAGGTACACCCACGATATTGGTGTTAGTAATCTACAGGCCTCCAGGGTCATGCACTCTTTTCCTAACAAACTTCACTGAGCTTCTTTCTGTTATCACAACAGCCTTTGCAAATCTTCTCACAACTGGTGACTTTAATATTCATGTTTATTGGTAAATGCCATGGTGTTCTTGGGCAAGGCACTTAACCCCCTTGCCTGCTGGTGGTGGTCGGAGGGACCGGTGATGCCAGTGTACGGCAGACTCGCCTCTGTCAGTGCGCCCCAGGGCAGCTGTGGCTACATTGTAGTTCATCACCACAAGAGTGTGAATGTGTGAATGACAGATTGTGTTGTAAAGTGCCTTGGGGGGTTCCAGGACCCTAGACGGCGCTATATCAAATACAGGCCATTTACCATTTCATGTTGATGGTGCTAATGACAAATCTGCAGAACAATTTCTTGGGGTGTTCATAATCAAACCCACGATCCGGGATGACCTCTAGACTTAATCATAACCAAAGATGTGGATGGGTCTAACGTTGTTGTTGAGGATGTGGGTCTATCTGACCACTTCTGTGTTTTTTCTGAGATACCCATGTCACCTCCTACACATCACACCTCAGTTGTTCTCAGCAAAAGGTATCTGGGTGATAACACTGCATCAGTTTTTATAGAACGCATGAATACATCAACAAGTCTGAACCAGCTGTGCTGATTCACTTTTAAATCACCTTGACACCGTTGCACCCAAAAAGGTGTAGCCTCCAGAAATGGTCAGTTTTTCATCTGCAGAATGACCTCTTCAGTATCTGTTCATTTGGAGACATAAGTCCTAACTGGTGTCTTTAATCTGCAAGAAAGGTACTGTTGTTTGTCCAAGGTCCTCGCAAGCTCCCTCTTATCTAAGACTGCTTTGCTTCACAGAACAAGAGGGATGAACTTTCATAATTAGATCATATAATGAAATGAACATTTATAATATAATTTTATAATGTTATAAATAATAAAGTGTTAAAATAAAGATCAAATGGAATACTTAAATAATCATATAATGAATGAACGTTATGGTTAAATGAAATGTTTTGATTAATCTGTGCTTAGATTAATAGGGATGAATTGAAAAATATGACCTATAAATTTAATCAGCGTATGAGACTGGACAAGACACACTCACCATATCTCCATGACGCAAGTTAAAGTCAACGTCACTGCACATAGATATTTTCTTATCCACAAAATCAGCATCTTCGTGTCTGAGGGAGGTGTGTATCTGAGGTTTGTTGGCAAAACCCATTTTCATGGCAAGTTCTGATTTGTCAGTAAACCAAAATATGGCCGTTATTAAAACAAAATCACTTCCTGAGTGATTCATTTTAGCCTAACTCTGACTGACCATCGGAGGAAGCCTCTTCTCCCAACGCATCTTTTGACAGGCTGTCAAAACCTGTTGCACGCTACAGCTGACCAAAAACATTTCCTTCAGAACAAAGCTGACACAGCTCAGACTCCCCAAGAGTCCTTCCATAGACGCAAAACAAGTCCACCTGTTTGTCGTGATCTGGAGATGACTCTGGACTGACCTGGTCGTACTGCGGTTTCTCTACGAACTTCGGTACCGTGGGGTCCACAGACTCCCTGACATCTCGGATCAAAAAGAGAGTCTCCGGTAAGGGTATGTAGACACGACAAGATTGTGTCTTATGCCGTTATTAGAAATCAACTTTCTAGGTTAATGCAAACCAAATTCACTCCCACTCAGAGCTCCGCTTCTCCAGATACGAAGGTTCTGATAACGTCACATTCACACATCATCACACCTCACATTCCATCCAGTTAGATTCATTCATCACATAAAGTGTTTCCTAGTTGTTATGTTTTTAATTGTTTAGAAAATAAATTTCTAACTTTTCATAAACTTGACTCTCTCTGAATTAATACAAAGTGTCTTATGATTCCTGAATAAACAAAGAATTCTAAATCTTCTGGTTAAACATTCAAAGACCAATCAGATTGGATTTCAATATTTATATAGAAATTCACATCTTATTGGTCAAATGTAGTGTAGTATATTGAGCTTAAAAAGCACCCAAAATACATATGTATGCTAACCCTACAAAGGTCAAACGTATCTCTAGCAAACAAAAAGCTGCATGGAGGTTCACTAAATCAGTTACAGATTTGAAAAGAGAATGTAGGAAAGCTGAGCATCAATTCAGGAAAAGCAACCTACCAGACCACTACAAGACCTTCAGAATGCAGCTGCACACAACTCTGGATTAAATAAGGAAAGACAAGCCTTTTTCTTCAAAGTCATTAGTGATAATATTAACCCATGTTCTGCTAGTGAGAGGCTAACTAATCTCCCAAGACAGTTAGCCCGATTGTGTTTCCCAAACAGTCTAACGAGTTAGCATCCTTTTCCAATGATAAAAGTACTGCTAGTTCTGCTGTGAAATTGGTATTTTTAACATGGGAGTCAAAGAGGATTTGCTCGCTTCTAACACCAGCCCCCAGCGGATGAGGGTGGAACTGCAAATTTTGGTACTTCCGGGTTGGAGTCAATTTTTGAGCCGCATTGTGGGGGCTTGTTTTGAACTGGTGAAACACAATGGCAGAAGTTTGACATGAAAGAAAAAACACAGTTCAACCAGTTTAGGTTTGTAACTGGTAAAAGTTTAAACATTTACTCGGAACACCTTGAATTTTAATGGTGAACAACCTAAAACACCTTTTGACTGTGGATCAACAGAAAAATACCAGAGTTTTGATAAAGACTAAATCCTGGAATCTTCCAGAATGACTGTTGAGAAGTTTTACGAGCACCTGGCCTTGGGGAGCGTCAGTTCTTGGCAGGCTGAGGTAAGACAGACCAAGACCTAATAATGTCCGGCTTCTCGATTGCTTAAAGAGCAAGTAACGTCTAAATTAACTTTTTTTTGCTGATGAACTGTATAAATGAGTGTCTAATAGTGTTTTAAATGTGTGCATTCTTTATTTTAGCATTTTGGTGCATTTTCTTTAAAAATTAAAAATTCTGTCTAAAAACCACAGTAATGCGCCACCTTCAGCTGAAAACATAGAATTTGAGTCATTTTGAATAAATTTTAGCCAATGGCTAAAGAGTAAAGTACTACGTAAACCAGTAGAGTACTACGTAGCAGCTCCGTGCCAAAGTTATAAAAGCAACGAGCGTCTCGGCCACGCCCTGTGGCGAGTGGGAGTTGGATTTGCAAGCGAGCATAGGTCAGCTGTAGTTCAGCATTAGCATTAGCATATCCTAGTCTTTAGCATATATTTTAGTGTTATAAATACTTATTTAGTGTTAGCTTGGCTGTTGTATATTGTAGTTTAGTTAGTGTTTGGCTGTTAGTGTAATTGGGAAAGTATTTCGGGTTTAGTGTTCCATATCGTGTTAGTATTGGTGAGTAGGTGTAGTGTAGTATGCTTGCGGTGACTCTGTGGGCATTTTACCCGCGATTCTGCACACCTCCGTTTGAAGAGGGAGGCTGCCCACCGTGGCTCTTCCGCGATTTAGATGCAGCCCACCGACTCTGCTCCCCCACCACGGCGGGCTCCAGTCTGAGGTGAGTACGCTAAATAAACGTTTTAACATCTTCTAAAGACAATTCCCTACCTAAATGCAAAGTCTGAGAGACGTGGTTCACTTCCTTTAGCTAGTCAGTCGGTGATTCTGCAACAGTGTCTCTAACTAACGCTGCACTAGTTGACAGCATTACAGCGTGAAATCCAGCTTGCGACCCGGTTCTGTAAGGAATTCTGTTCAGGAGGTCGCATTTCAGGCTCTCCACATCATATGTGACTGACTTTTACGTTATAATGATCACACACTAGGAATGTTATAAAGCGCCTATATAGGAGATTCTTTTGTATATTATCTGACTTTATAAACTCCCAACAACAATGTGCTTCTATTTTTTTTTTCAGGCTAAATCTACCCAAGACACTGGCTGTCAGACTGATTTAGCTGCATGAATGTACTTGTCCAGGCTGATGTGAAACCTTCCCTGTAGCAAAGGTGAATTATTTTTAATAATCTTCAATGTAAACATTTTATTATCACCTTCTAGTTTTAATTTGTTTTACAGATTATTGTTGCACGTGATTTTATGCTCTTTTAAACATTTATAAATGTGCTGCTTCTTTGTTTTTACATAGCCAGCCAGAATGGAGTTCACAGCCGCAGTGTGTCTGGTGACCCACGGGGACCATGATGAAAATTCATCTTCCAGAAGGTCCCAGAGCGTCCAGACCCCCTGAAAAGACCAAGATGTGAGGTGTCTGCTGTTGATTCCAGCTTCCACCTCAGTGACAGTGCAAGCTCAGTGAACTGTTCAAGGTTAAAAAAAAATTAAAACATTTCAGAATTTTTAAGATATTAACAATTAAATAAGTATGTGATTACATCATGACGGAGGCTACTGATTCTGCCCCTGTGACACTTGGTGGTGACGTGTGAGCCGATTCTCCTGGAAAATAACTTTTACATTAAATATTTTGTTTTAGCTATCAAAAGTAAATTAACTAATAACCTGCATTATTGCAAGACACTCAGCAAAATATGGACTCTACACCATGAGGCAGGCACACGTTAATACTCTATAAGAGCACATAAGGTGAGCAACACCACATATTGTACACTGTCCTGAATTTGTTTTCTTTCTGCATCTCATCATTAGCCTGGCTGATCACCTGATAACTCCTGTCATCTGGTTGTGACAGCATGAGGATGTCCTCACACACCTGTAACCTATCAGCTCATCTGGCAGAATAGAGAGAGAAGAGACAACACCACATCTCCTGTTCCTGGAAAGCCTTCAGCCATCCTTCGATGACTGAGAACCTCCATCAGCTCTGTCTCCTGTCTGCCTACAATTATTATAATAAATATTGTGTTTGACAAGTTTTTTGTGCTGCCAAATATCTCATATAGATTCCAGTTTTGATATTTTAATGGATATTTATAAATTACATTGAATATCACATTTTTGTTGCATGTTTAACTAGCTCTATTGTGATTAATTAAACTAGCACCTCACTGTTAAAAGCTCGTTCTAATTTCAAGCATGTTTAAGTATTTATGGACATGAACAAAAACAGGAAATATATAAATTGAGATTTATTTAATTAATATAACAAATAAGGGGGAAAGAGTCAATGAAAGGCACGTTCTTCTGAAAGTTCCTGATCCTGATGACACCAGCAGAGGAGACCAGCTGCAGACACCAGAGGACCTAGAACCAAGAGAGCAGCTGTTATCAGTAAATAAATAAAGAAATCAGGGCAGTTTTAGTGGGCTGAACACATTACAGAATAATTTTCTCATGGGGTAGTTTCATAACTTTCTATGCAGCAGACTGTAACTTGAGCCCAGAGCTACCGGAGAGCTGCTATCCAGCATGTTTCAGTGGATTTTCCTGCTTTAACAGGTTAGATTAGCTGTTAAGCAGCTCAGCTATTTGTTGCTGATTAAAACCAGGTGTGCTGAAGCAGATAAACCTCTAAAACATGCTGAATACTAGCTTTTTAGGGCCGTGGAGACAAACCCTGCAGCTAATCCAATGCTATGGCTAACGGCTACTTACCTTTCAGAGGTGATTCTGTTGGGTCGGTTCTGGGAGTTTCAGGCAACTCACAAGCTCAAAACAATAAGACTCAGGTCCGCTTGTCTCCTCCAAATAGACTTGGTCCCTTTCTTCTCGAGTGTCTGTGTAAGGAGGGGGAGAAACGTCCTCCACTTCTATCAACTGCTCAGAGTGAAGGGAGCTAGCTTCGTCTAGTTAGCCATCGTCTTCGTCACTGCCGCGGCTCCGCCTTCTCGGTCCTCCAGGCAACGCCTACTAATGTTGCATTTTTTTAAATTGATACGTGGGTGGAGAAGGACTCCGAGGCTCAATTGACCCGCTCTTTAAGGAGGGAAACAAACAAGTCACTTGGTAAAATTTACGTTCCTGGGAGAAAATGTAGGGGTTAGCCTTATGTTCGAAAATGGTATCTTGGAATTAATCCGATTGTAGGCCAGTTTCAAATTCCCCCTTTTTTCTGCTAAGTGTGAAAGAAACCTTTGTGTGAAAATGTTATTGTTCTTCTCCGTGTAAATCCAAACAAAGTTAACCTGAGGATAAAAAATGTGGATTCCCGCTACATCAGTCTTGTCTTGATTTAAAAGCAGAAATTTTAGAGTCATCCAATTTTTTATGTCTTCAAGACAAGCCTGTACCTAACTATTTAGGTTCATCAAGGTTAATGGATAAATATAACTGAGTGTCGTCAGCATAACAGTGGAAGTTTATCTCATGCTGTCTAATTATTTTACCAATTGGAAGCATATATATAGTAAAAAGAATTGATCCAAGCACTGAACCCTGTGGTACTCCACATCCACAAGTAACCCTGGAGTATGAAGACGATTTGTCATGTACATTTACAAAATGAAATCTGTCAGACAGGTAGGATTTAAACCAGCCTAGCGCTGTTCCTTTGATCCCTACAACATGTTCAAGTCTTTCTAAAAGAACATTGTGATCAACTGTGTCAAAAGCAGCACTGAGATCTAACAAGACTAGAACAGACACAAGATTCTTATCTGAGGCCATGAGAATATCATTTGTAACTCTCACTAATGCAGTTTCAGTGCTGTGATACTCTCTAAAACCAGACTGAAATTCCTCAAACAGAGCATTAGTGTTTAAATGGTGACATACTTGGATGGCCACTATTTTCTCCAGGACTTTGGATAAAAATGGAAGGTTAGATATTGGTCTATAATTCATTGGGTCATCTGGATCCAGAGAAGGCTTCTTAAGTGAAGGTTTGATTACAGCCACCTTAAAATCCTCTGGTACATATCCATTTACTAAGGATAGATTGGTTACTGCCCCCATTCTCGATATAATCAAAGGAAATGCATCTTTAAATAATTTGGTTGGGATTGGATCCAAAATGCAAGTTGAAGGTTTAGATTAAGCTAATATTTTTGATAACTCTGAAAGCTCAACTGGATCAAAACGGTTCAAACACAGATGAGGTTCTACAGTTACCTCTGATGCTGCCTCACTTACTGAGGAAGAAGAAATCGCGTTAGGGAGGATGCTAAAGATTTTGTTTCTAATAGAATTAATTTTACTCGTGAAAAGTCCCATGAAGTCGTTGCTGCTGAAGGCTAAGGGGATAGATGGTTCAGAGCTATGATTCTGTGTAAGTTTAGCAACTGTACTGACAAGAAATTTAGGATTATTTTTAATCTTCTCAATTAGCGATGATAGTTGGATTCATGGGGTGCTCCATTGCGCTAATACTACAAATCCCAGAATGTTTCGCTGAGTGAGTGCCTTAGTTGAGACCACGAATTTCCCCCTATTTTTCTGGTGACAGTCAGTAGCTTCAGTGCTAATCACTCCCAGCCCCATATCTTGCTTTACTGTGAAACCAGGACACGGTAAAAAAAATTATGGCTTGAAGGACAAGAACACCACAAGATGTGTTACCTGGGAGTCTGCATTGAGCACTTTGATTCTCTGAGTGGAAATGAAGAGATCCACCTCTGTTATGTGATGGGATTCAGCCTGACGCTCCTGAACAACCACATTCACAAAGTCATGTTAAAAACAGGACAGAAATGTTCAAGCAAAACTTATTGTAGTCAAGTCACCATCTCTCAGGTCCATGTCACAGCCAAGACCTTAGTATTCGAGTTCAAGTCCAAGTCACATAAGGCGTGTTCAAGTCGAGTCCAGTTCAAGTCACTAGGTCCTACAGGCCAAGTACAGGTCCCCAAAACATTTTTCCAGTCAAATGTGGTTCATATTTTGCCCTCTAGCCAAAAGCTGAGGGGTGTGGGGGGTTGGGTGCATGATGTTGCATGTCAAGATGTCTATAGCCAGCTTTTCTTTAAAACATGTACATCTCATTTGTCACTGACACACTCCATCGTGGCAATCTGCTACACTGGTCAGTGTTTGACCACTTGTTTGTCGGACTTAGCAACAGTAACTAAGGGGGGCGGGGCTTGGCCAAAGACTGATTATGAACTTTTACAAGCTGATAAATCTCAAAGTACGTGACAGGCGTGGTCGAAACAACCATCATTACTTTTCATTTAAATTGAAGTGCAACATATGTGTGATCCAGGGCGTAAGTTAGGGCGGGTTAGAAAATAATTTTTATTCCCGTTGACTTGCATTCACTGTTTGGTTTTTCCGGGGACCCATGAGCCGACCAGGAGGGGAGGAGACTTAGGCTCCCTGTAGAGTCATCTGGGATGCTTGTTTGTCTAAGTCATTTTTATTTCTATTTAACCTATTATAGCAGTATCTGATCTCAACACGAATAAAAACAACCCTTTTTCTTTTGTTCCATTTCAGAACTGATTCACACCTGTAAACACCCAAGGTGTGTGTGTGTGTGTGTGCGTGTGTGCGTGCGTGCGCGCATGTGTGTGTGTGTGTGTGTGTGTGTGTGTGTGTGTGTGTGTGTGTGTGTGTGTGTGTGTGTGTGTGTGTGTGTGTGTGTGTGTGTGTCTGTTCACCTTGATGTGCTTGATTGCTTTCTGAGCCTGCATCATTCGGATGTTCTTGGAAGGTGTTTTCTCTGATACCAGCTGAGTGGACCCAAGATAGACGGCAGCAAAAACGATGCCATCTATCAGGTCTTCTGGGTCACAGGGACCTGGTACTGGAAAGATGATCGGGTTAGTCTCACCTCAAAACCAGTAAACATTAATTCAATTAAGGAAATAGATCATGACACAAATTCACTTAAGACACAAATATGTCTTAAACAGGCAAATTCATGAAGTGATAAATGGTACTAGTTTACTGTACTAAACATTTAAGAGTTTGTTGGCTCTGGGTTAATTAGTAATTAAATATATATAAAAATTCTATTCAAGTCCCCCCCCCCCCCCCCCCGTATTTGAACTGAAACATTTACATGTTGATGTTGGGAAATGTAACTAATGTAGACTAAAGCAGAGTTCTGTGTTTTTATTTGTTGTTAGTCGTCCCAGCTCTGACTGGCTCCCCTCACCTGCTGCATATGCAGGAAATGCTGCAAGGCTTTTCTTGGACTGTGAATGAAAATAAAAATATAGCAAGTATGTTTCAAAACAAAGCAAAATGCAGAAGGGACAGTGACCGTTACAACGCACAGCTTTATGGGATGGAGGGCCTTCGTCATCCTGCAGCAGGTGTAGGCTGGGTGATTCTGCTCCCTGATTGGGTGGTGAGTCTGAAGACACAGCCTGCAGAGAGAATAAGGCATCACTTGCTGTAGAACTGCTCACTTATATCTGATTCAGTGCACCAGAGGAGATATTTTGGGCTTTTGAACTTGCTGCTCTGAAGGAAATGAAGGCAAAGCTCTTGATTTACCGGTTGATCTACGTTCCTACACTCACCTATGGTCATGAGCTTTGGGTAGTGACTGAAACAATGAGATCGCGGATACAAGCGGCTGAAATGAGTTTTCTACGCAGAGTGGCTGGGCTCTCCCTTAGAGATAGGGTCAGAAGCTCGGCCATCTGGGAGGGGCTCAGAGTAGAGCCGCTGCTCCTTCACATCGAGAGGAGCCAGTTGAGGTGGCTTGTGCATTTAGTCAGGATGCCTCCTGAACACCTCCCTGGTGAGGATTTCCGGGCACGTCCAACTGGGAGGAGGCCTAAAGGAAGGCCCAGGATACGGTGGAGAGACTGTGTCTCTAGGCTGACCAGGGAACGCCTTGGGATTCCCCGGGAGGAGACCAGTTTATGCTGCTGCCCTTGCGAGCCGACCCCGTATGAGTGGATGAAAATGGATGGATATAACAAATTAAAGCTGCGTTTGAACCTTCTAACATTTAATCGACAATGTTTGTGTCGTCATTATGTGTTCCTCTGTTAGTTTCCCAATTCCTTCTTTACTAAAAAGGAAGGGGGCAGCAGTAGCTCAGGTGGTAGAGCGGGTTGCCTCATGATCGGAGGGTTATGGGTTCGATTCCAGCTCCCACCAGGGGTATTCTGCTGTTGTGTCCTTGGGCAAGACACTTCACCCAACTTGCTTGTGTTGGTGGTGGTCAGAGGGGCCGATGGCGCCAAATGGCAGCCTCGCCTCTGTCAGACCGCCCCAGGGCGGCTGTGGCTACACAGTAGCTTACCATCACTAGCAGTGTGTGAATGTGAGAGTGCATGTAAGCGTCTTTGAGTGTCCTAAACAAGCGCTATATAAGTTAGATGTATTATTATTATTATTATTATTATTATTATTATTATTATTATTAATAATAATAAACATACTGGGTTGATGGTATAATTATCATAGTCACTATGAGTTTCATCTCACATCTTTTTTTTTTTTTTGCTTTTTCTGCGTCTTCTTCAATCAGTTATCCCAAAAGATTTCATTCATTTTTCTGATCTGTGAAAGAAACAGTTTCGTCCAATACACTAACTAACTAACTAACTAACTAATGAACTAACAACTAACTAACTGACAACTAACTAACTGACAACTAACTAACTAACTAACTAACTAACTGACTGACAACTAACTAACTATCTAACTAACTAACTAACTAACTAATGAACTAACAACTAACTAACTGACAACTAACTAACTAACTAACTGACTGACAACTATCTAACGAACTAACTAACTAACTACTAACTAACTAACTAACAACTAACTAACTAACTAACAACTAACTAACTAAATAACTAACTAACAACTAACTAACTAACAACTAACTAAATAACTAACTAACTAACTAACTGACAACTAACTAACTAACGAATGAACTAACTAACTAACTAACTAACTAACTAACTGATGCGTGATTACATTAGCTTTTACCGGTATGTTTACTAGTCTCCTACTCACCCTACACCTAAAAATCTAACCCTCACCCTAAAACCCAAAGTTCCGTTGGTCTGATGCGTGATTGCATGAGTCTCTACCTAACCAAGACCCCTTGTGGCCAATTAGGATTGGGTTAAGAATAATGTTTTAAACTAAGGAGGTTGGTTAGTGCCACCTGCCCACCTTATTTTTAGTTTCTAACCCTAAAACTCTATATTTATGGGGGTTGGTTAATGCCACTCGCCCACCTTACTTTTAGTCTTTAGCCATGAATATCAACTCTAACCTTAACCAAGACCCCTTGTGGCCATTTAGGATTGGTTTAATAATAAATATTTTAAACTATGGAGGTCGGTTAATGCCATCCACCCACCTTACTTTCAGCCTCTAACCATGAACTTTAGTTCTAACCCTAATTAAGATTCTGGTGCTTAGTCTGGATCAAATTATGAATAATGTTTTGAAATATGGAGATGCTTTAGTGCTACCTGCCCATCTTAATCTGCAATTTTAACCCTAACCCTATAAATTATTCTAATAGATCACGGTCGAATCATTACGCATGAAGCGTTATTTTAATTATATGGGGTCTGAATTTTACGATTAACTGCATGAACATAAGTCCAGGGTTACAAAGATATGCGCTATCACATATGGTTCTATGCTTTAAAATCCTGTGGAATAATAACAGATTCAAATAATTCTAACACATCAGGGTGATAGGATTTCTCTTTGGACCAGCTAGAACCATATTAAACATGACTTATTTATATTACAGGAAAGTTCTGCACAGGCCTTTACTTAAAAATGGAGTGGATACCACATCACAAACTATGCTTTCTCCCTGCTCACCTCTTTTACTCTCCCATTCCCTCTCCTGCACGTAGGATTGGGAATTGGGGGAACCAGGTTTAGCCTACTCCGGCTCGGATGTGTTTGAGCGTGACACCACGACACCACATCTGTTACCTGGACCATATAACCCCTTTAAGTTAGGGTTAAAACATACACAGGTTTATACTTGAAAATACAGCTAATACCACACTACAAACTGTGCTGTTCTCTTTCTCACCACTGTTCCTCTCCTATTCCCTCTCCCACACTCAGGACTGGGAATTGGGGGAGCCAAGTTTAGCCTACTCCGGCTCGGATGTGGTTGAGCGTAACACTACCACACCATGTCTGTTACTTGGTCTCTACCACTTCTGGGTCCACCTTGGTTTCCTCCTCGTTTCCTCTGGTTCTCTATTCTGTTCTTCTTCTGAATTTTTTCTTTATTCTGTTTTTTCATGTTTTTCTACTCTACTCTTTTACTGTTCATTAAGACGAACCAACAACTGGAGGGGAGTTCTAGAGTGACATGCGACGGCCCGTGCATTGCCAGTGACTCCCTATTCAACTGTTTCGGTTAAGCTACTGATTCAGGGGGAATTCACTGAGATTTATCTACTCCATCTACTCCAACTAACTAACTAACTAACTAACTAACAACAACAACTAACTAACTAACTAACTAACAACTAACTAACTAACAACTAACTAACTAACTAACTAACTAACTAACTAACTAACAACTAAATAACTAACTAACTAACTAACTAACTAACTAACAACTAACTAACTAACTAACTAACTAACAACTAACTAACTAACTAACTAACTAACTAACTAAATAACAACTAAATAACTAACTAACTAACTAACTAACAACTAAATAACTAACTAACTAACTAACTAACTAACAACTAACTAACTAATTAACTAACAACTAACTAACTAACTAACTAACAACTAAATAACTAACTAACTAACTAACTAACTAACTAACTAACAACTAACTAACTAACTAACTAACTAACTGAGAACTACATTAACAAGTTATTCATAGAAGCAGCAGTAGTTTCTTTGGTATTTACGTCACTGGCAAATGTAGCTTAACAAATCCTATTTGAAATGTTCCCGCTCACTGGAGGAATTCTGAGGGATGGGAATTCTCACCTCGTCTTGATCCTGTTTGTCTCTCTGACCTTTTTGCTCAGTTTGTTCTTCCTCGAGCTTTTCGGCCTGATACATCCAGAAGTTCTCCATGTCTTTTGGTAAACACAGAAACGCAGCTCGGTATTACCCGGAGCCACAGAACTCTGAGTGAAACAGTGACATCACAAAGGTAAGCTACTCAGGTGTCACTGAGATATCAGAGTTCAGCAGGTGATCAGCTCCAGTTGTCAGCTTGTTGTCTGCGTTGGTAGGTTTCAGCACGATGCCATCTTTAGTCAATAAACCAATACTCATTAAATAATGTCGACTCCTCATTGCAATGACAACCAGAAGATCGGTGTTGTTAAACGCCGCCTCTGCTGTTCTACAGATAAGTACGTATCTAATGGTGCTCTGTTACTGAATCCCTGATAAAATATTAAGCACCACCTGCGCTACACTGAATAAACCATTAGAACGAGGGAGTCATGAAAGGAGTCCTTAAAAGGCAGAATGGAAAACACTCTGGGAAGGTGTACTTTGGAGGAGACTAAAGAGTTTTGCTAGGTGTTTGCAGCAAAGTTTAATGTTTAGGTTCTCTAACTCTGGATTCACTCACCTGAGATGTAAAACAGGATCAGCAGAAGAATAAGGATCATGAGGAGGAAGTTCTTCATACAATAGTGGAAATGAGGAGTTTCATCACATTGGTTAAACAGGGTTCTCCAACACGTGGCTAGTGTTGCAGGTAAAGGGCCGGCACAATCCCCACTGACAGCTTAAATATGAATTATTGAGGGAACGTCTGGGTGCCTGAAATGCAAATAAAGAGACAGAAACATCAGAATGGAGTGGTCTCTGTGAACTGCTGCTTCTGAATCACGGTAAATGAGACACAGAGCTCCACTAGCCATCTTGCATCCCCCTGCCACCTTGTGGAGAACCCCAGTATTGCACAGCACACTTTCCTATTCTTATTTTATTACTTTTACTAAATTATAACTCTAAATATTTCAACAAAATTGTGTGATCACACTTTGTGGGCGTCACACTCTCTGGGGCAAACAAAAATAAATCTCATAACTAAAAATTGCATTTCTTCGTCACATATTTACAAATTTTAATGGTCCTTAACACAGTCGCAGTCTAATGAACGAATAACAAAAGCTGCATATATAGTTTGGTAAGGGTTTGTTGGACACATAATCGGTGATGAGTAGGTAGTACTAGGTATGGTATGGACATGGTTGGAAGGTAAGCCACAGTTGGGTATGTATTTGTAATGACAGGTGAGTGATGGGGCTTGTTGTCAATCACACTAACGGTTGCCTGTGCGCACAGTGACGGCTGACCCAGGAAATCGTAAGTAAACACCTGACGTGGTCTTCGATCTCGCGTCAACCTTCTGGCCTCGGTGGGTCTCACCTGTTGGTCCTGGTCAGACATGAGATTGTCTCCCAGTTCCTCCTCTGCGTGGCCAACAGTAAGTCCATCTTTCCCGGCTCCGATTGACTCCTCCTATACATGAAGTTAGGTGGGATCCTCCCCTGATTTTCCTGGTGGGCAGCGTGTTCCAACTGACACATCCTCTCTCAAATGTACTTATGTTTCATCCGTCAACTTCTGTGTGTCCTCCTGTCCTGCTCCTGACTGATGTGTCAGTGGTTGGTCACCCCTTGGTATTCTTAACCAGTACCCTGAACAGTGTTCATCCTCCGAGTCACTCTCTGCATCCTGACTGTCCCACATTTGTTCATTGGCGTGGACAGCTCCCTTCCTGAGCACTCTCCTTGCTCGCGGGTTTGTACTCCTTTTAGATTTTTCCGTGGAGACACACCTCTCAACCGGTTGGTCATTTACTAACAACAGGAGATTACGATGCAGAGTATGCATCCTCTTGTTGTCTCCGCTCTCAGGCTGGACAGTGTACACTGGGTTTTGGCCTATTTGTCCTGTCATGATTTAAACAGTCTTTTCCCAATAGGATCTCAACTTGCCAGGCCTTCCACGTTCACTGAGGTTTCTCACTAGGACCCGATCACCTGGTTGCAACACGACTCCCTTCACTTTCTTGCCATACTCTTATTTTCCCCCTTCCGCTGGATTTTTTACTGTGTTCACTGACGATGCGGTAGGCTTCCGCCCCACATTTTGCCCATTTCTCGGCAAAACCCGTAGGTGAGTATGTGATTTTGTCCATACATTAAAAAAAGGCGAGTATCCAGTGGCTTCATGACTTGTACAATTATATGCGTGCACCACATGAGCCAGATGATCCTTCCACCGCAGCTTTCCATCATCTGGTAGAGTTCTTAACATTTGTAAAATGGTTCTGTTGAACCTCTCGGTAGGGTTACCTTGCGGGTGATGAGGGGACGTGCGGGAATGACCTACCCCAGACCGATTTTGAAGTGTCTTAAACAGTTAATTCTCAAACTCCCGCCCCTGGTCGTGATGTACTTTCTGTGGGTACCCAAACCGGGGAATAAAATCCTGAAAAATACACCCAGCTGCTGGGCGTCCACTTTTGTCTTTCGTAGCATAAGCCTGCGCAAATATTGTAAAGTGGTCGACTTCTACCAAGATGTAGTCACATCCTCCCACACTTTTCTCCAAGTGTAAATCGTCAACACACACCAGTTCTAAAGGAGAGTTGGTGGCTATACTACCCATGGGGGCACGGACATGAGTAACAGTTTTTTTTTGACATAATACAAGAGCATTTCTGGGTGACATACACCTCCACCTCTTTTGCCATGAACGGCCAATAGAACTTCTCCTTGGCTAGATGCAGTACTCTTTCGGTACCCACATGCCCCATTTTGTCATGTAGCAGTTGTAGGACCAACTTCCGATATTTCTCAGAAAGAACGAACTGTTTCCTATCTCCCGTCCTTCGAAACAGGAGACCGTCTTCCAGACAAAGCTTGCCCACTCATGCAGCAGCTTCTGAGCTGTTCTACCCACTGCCCTCCGCATTTCATCTGTTATCTTGGTTTGTGACTCTTTCAGTTTTATCACCTGGTTGATGTTGTGATCCTCCCACTGCGCTTTCACCAACTCACTGTGACTGATGTTGGGGAGGTTGGCGGTCAGTAAAGGTGGGGTCTCAGCAGCCGTCATGTTGAGGATGGCAATCCAAGCGACATCCTTCTCCTGGGCGATCTGACTCCCGTCCCATGTTGCCCGAACCACCTCATCTGAAAAAGTCTCAGTACACTCAGACATGTACTCCTCCATGTCCCACGGTAACTGCGATAATGTATCTGTGTCTGTGTTAGCTTTCCCAGGCCGATATTTTATGTCAAATCGGAAATCAGAGATTTCCCCTACCTACCTGTACCCAACGGCATTAAGTTTTGCTGTGCTCATAGTGTAAATCGGGTGGTTGTTATCAGTGTAAATGGTGAAATGAAGTGTGTAATACAAGTAATCTCTGAACTTAAGTTTATGTTTATTTATTTGACAGACGCTTTTATCCAAAGCGACTTACAGTTTATAACCTATAGGGCATGTTGTGATCTGTGGGGGAAACCGGAGTACCCGGAGGAAACCCACGCATGCATGGGGAGAACACGCAACTCCACGCAGAAAGGCCGCAGCCGAGCCGAGTTTCGAACCTGCAACCTTCGTGCTGCGAGGCAACAGTGCTAACCACTGTGCCACCATGCAGCCAACTTCTCGCATATCAGCGTGAGAAACTCCAACTTTCCACTATGTAACCAGTAGTTACGTTCCGCTTGTGTCAAAGTTCGCGATCCATAACCTATTACACCTAACTTGCCATTTTGATTTTGGTAAAGGACGGCTCCCATTCCCTTCTCTGATGCATCAGTGTGCAATGTGAAAGGCAAATTCAAATCGGGGTAGGCTAGTACCGGTGAGCTTGTGAGGAGAGTAACTAGTTTTTACAAGGCTTCTTGGTGTATACTAGTCCATATAACAGGCTCTTTTGAATGGAGCTGGATGCGTTTGTTGTCCTTCCTACTGACAGAATTTAACACTGTGGTTTGTAACAACTTATAGAATGGCCCAGCTATCCTGGAGAAATCCTGGATGTGTGTGCAGTAATACCCCAAGAACCCTGTTAATTTACGTACACCCCCCACAGTCTCAGCTGTCTTGGATGTGAGTGTTTTCACAGCTTCAAGGCCGCTGTTACGATCCAGGCTTTCTAGGGGGCCTGGGGTAACAATTGAGGACGCATGTTCTCGTGGTAAAAGTAACAAAATATTTATTTACATAAATATAAACACAAAACACAGATTAACAAGACACATCAGCAGCAACGCAAAATGAGTAACAACTAAACTCTCATATTAACCAAATTAATACCAAAACTACGAAAGACCATCACATAATTTCCTTTTTAACGAGTGATGTCTTATTTAAAACAAGTGAAAGGGTAAAGTTTCCTTCACACCTAAAAAGGCTGACGGTTAAACACAGAGAGTTTCCTAAGCACCCACCAAAGTTGTCACATAATACTTTAACTTAACAAAACCAAAACCAAAAGCTGCTGAGGAGACAGCAGACCAGAGAGAACCTCCCTGGCCTGCTGCTCCCTGAACTGAGGGCTGGCTGACTTTTATGCTGCTGGCAGAGCTGATCATTAGGATCAGCTGGGAGAGTCTAATTGGGAGGCAATTTAGTGAGATGGGAGACAGATGCTGCATCTCCTCTCACACACACACAGGGAATAAAAAAAACCCAAATGGCCCTGGGCCGTAACAGTCGCGCAGATCAATCTTTACGCCTTCAGCGGACACGATCTTCCCCACGTACCTCACTTAGCTTTTGAACAACTCACATTTTTCCGGTCGTCGCTTTACTCCGTGTTGTTGTAGGGCACACAGCACCTTTCGGAGGTATTCTACGTGTTCGTCGAATATTTTGGCATAACACAATATATCGTCCAAATAAGGAATACAACATCCGTCTCGGAGGGGACCTAGCATCTCTTCCATACTGCGTTGGAAGGCGGCTGGAGTGTTGGTCAGTCCAAAAGGGATTCTGACCCACTCGTACAGACCCCAAGGAGGAGTAAAGGCCGTAAACTGCCGGGATCCCTCAGCCACAAAACCCTGGTGATGCGCCTCTCTCTGGCCAAGCATACCAAACCATGCATAACCACCGAGAGAATCTGTCAAATCCTGAATCCTGGGAAGGGGATGTCGGTCAGGATCCGTTTTCTTGTTGAGGAGTCTATAGTCAATACATAACCGCAAACTGCCATCTTTTTTTCTCTGACAAACAACTGGGG